AATCAGTGAATGTGTAAGCATCTCAGTGCTGGCAGGGGCCTCCACACAGGTGCTCCAGCACCCAGAACTGCACCTCGGGGATGTCTTGCAGGAAGTGAGCCTTGCCAGCTAAAGCAGGGACTGGCTAAAGCAGCTGCACCCTGGTCTGACCATCACAAAGCAAGAGACCCAAGAACTTGAAAGGCGAGGCTCACAGAGCCATTTATCCCTCTGCCCTTCAATTAATCCCACATGTGTTTATCAGCCAGGTTGGCACAATAAATTAACTAACTCACCTCCCTTCAATCCTGATGTCACATCCTTCTTCATATAGTCCAGCTTCTCTGACTATTTGTTCAGCATCTACATTGAATTAATATAGTGAGAACCCTGATCTGATGCACACCTTTTCTGATTTTAAACCATTTATTTATTCCCTTGATCTTGATCTATGTAGAGATTCCACATGAGCACATATAAGTAATCTGGAATTCTCATTCTTCTCAAAGCTATCCATAGTTTGTTATGATCCATGAGTGAAATGTCTTAGCATCGTCAAGAAAACACCTTTCTTGTATTCTACAGGCATGATTCACCTGACATCAACAATGACACTCCTTGTTGCACATCCTCTTCTGAATCCAGCCTACATTTCTGGTCACCACCTCTCAATGTACTGCTCCAATCATTGTTGAAAGATTTTCAGCTGAATTTTACTTGCATATGATGCCAATGATTTTTTTCTATAATTTTTGCATTCTGTGGGGTTACTTTCCTTTAGTATGGGTAGACATCTGGATCTGTTTCAGTCAGTTGGCCAGGTAGCTCTCTGCCAAATTCCTTGGCATAGACTCTTGAGTGCTTCCACTGCTTTTAGCTGGGGCAATCATTTCCATTGCTATTTTGTCAATTTCTGGAGCTTGCTCATGGCTAATGCCTTCAGTGCCATGGGCTTCTTGCTTTAGTACCATTGGTTCTTGATCACATGCTCCTCAGAAATGTTGGGTGTCAGCCAGTTCTTTTTGGTACAATGACTGTGTCTTTTTGCTATCTTCTTTTAATACTTCCTGCTCCCCTCTGTATTTTACCTGTAGAATCATTCAATAAAGTAACTTAAGATTTGAATTTTTTTTCAGTTCTTAAAGTTTAATTTATGCTGTATTTGTTCTTTCTTTTTGGCTTTCAGACACTAGGTAGTGGCACATTTCATTATTATAATTGACTTTGTCTTCCTGAGCTCCCCTTTGAAATTTTATGTTCAGCCCTTAGACTTCTTCCATTCTTTCATTTGTCTTAGCTACTCCACAATTAAGAACCCGTTTCAGAATCTCTTCGGACATCCATTTGGATCTTTTCTCTCTTTCTTGCCTTTTAAATGACATGTTGCTTTCTTCATGTATGACGCTCTTGATTTCATCACAGAGTTCGTCAGGTCTTCTGTCATCATTGTTCAATGTGTCACATCTGTCCGTTAGATGCCCTTGACATTCTTATGGGTCGTATT